TTTAATGTGGCCTCTCAAGATGGCACTTCCTGTCTAACAATATTTTTGCCCTCACTACCTTTACGTTCCCTCTTTAGTCTTTTTGCTCGATGGTTCAACTTGATAATGGATAAAATAATAAAAAAAATAAAAACTAAAAAAAGATTTCAAATGGGAGAAAAACAATTTAAAATAATTTGCTAATTTGCTAATAATTTAACATGTTCCACCAAACAATTCCAACAATTTCCCCCAAAAAGGCATAATACATGCTTATAACAGCAAATTTACTGAGTTGTAAATTTGTCGAGAAGGACTATTTGCCATCAACATATTGATTCAGCGATGTCGGGATGTAAACGTTTATTTACACTTGTGCTTTGTTGACTACGAAAAAGCTTTCGATAAAGTAAGACATGAAAAACTAATATCAATACATTGACAAAAAAATCATAAATATAGTGCAAACATTAAATTGAAACCAAAGTGCTATAGTTTAAATTGATGGGCAACACTCAGAAAACATAGAGATATGTAGAGGAGTTAGACAGTGATGTGTTTAATCGCCACTTTTGTTTAACATATTCTGAAGAAATTTTCCAAAACACGCTTAATAATATCAAAGCGGGAGTTACCGTTAACGGAAAATTAATTAACAACTTACGATATGCAGACGACACTGTGATCATAGCAAGGAGTATAGAAGATCTACAACATCTTATCGAAAGCTTAAGTATGAATAGTGCTGAGATGATAATTACTATAAACGGTAAAGAAAAGAAGTACATGCTAATTACAAAAAGACCACAAAATATACATCACCTATTGACAATCAATGGTAACGTGATAGAAGGAGTAGAAAAATATCAGTACTTGGGAATTTTGATCAATGAAATCAACTATCTTCTTCTTCTTCAGATGCAAATCCACTAATGGATGTTAGCGATCACATTTTCCATTAACTCTCTATTTCTTGCAATATGTATCAGAGATTGTATGTCGTTAATCCCTGTCCATTGCCTTATGTTTCGGAGCCAGGACATTTTCTTGCGTCCCATTCCTCTCTTGCCTTCAATTTTACCCTCGATTATAAGTTGGAGGAACTGGTATTTTTCATTTCGCATGATGTGACCTAGATACGCCGTTTTCCTTTTCTTGATGGTTTCGAAAAGTTGGCGTTCTTGGTTTATTCTTTTAAGGACATCTATATTTGTGATTTTCGCTGTCCATGGTATTTTTAGGATACGGCGATAAAGCCACATTTCGAAAGCTTCCAATCTGTTTATATCCCTCGTTTTGAGTGTCCAGCCCTCTACGCCATATAGCAGCACTGACCATACGTAGCACTTAGTAAACCTTAGTCTCAGTTGAAGATCGAACTCAGAACAAGTCAGTACCTTCTTGAATTTTACGAAAGCTTGTCGAGCTTGCTCAATGCGACATTTTACTTCCCTGTCCGATGCCCAGTCTTCAAAAAGCCACGATCCCAGGTATTTAAATTTACTCACTCTTTCTATGGATTTACTATTCAGTGTTATGGTGGAGTTTTCAAATGCATCCAAGTTTCTGGAGATGATCATGAATTTGGTCTTTTTGGTATTAATCTCTAGTCCCATTCGCTCACTGTATTCTCCGATTATAGTGACAAGTTGTTGAAGATCGACTATGTTGTCACAAATTAAGACACCATCATCAGCATATCGTATGTTGTTGATCAATACTCCATTCACCTTGATTCCCATCTCTGCATCCTCCAAAGACTCTTGAAATATGGCTTCTGAATAAATGTTAAATAAAAGAGGGGAAAGCACACATCCCTGTCGAACGCCTCTTCTTATATGTATGGGCTTAGATATAGAATTGTCTATTTTTAGCTGTGCCGTTTGATGCCAGTACAAGTTTTCAATGCATCTTATGTCTTTTTGGTCTATATCAACTTTCTTGAGAATCTGCATTAACTTGTGGTGTTGGACACGATCAAACGCTTTTTTGTAATCTAAAAAGCATAGGAACACATCCTTCCTCTGATCGTAACAATTTTGGACCAGTACCTGTGTTGCTACTATTGCTTCTCGTGTTCCTAAACCTTGCCTAAACCCGAACTGGGAATCACTGATGTCCCATTCACATTTTTTGTATAATCTTTGATGTAGTATTTTTAAGAATATCTTTAAAGTGTGACTCATCAGGCTAATGAGTCTGTGATCCTCACATCTTTTTGCATTGACTTTCTTGGAAAGGGGAATAAAGGTAGAGCGTAACCACTGTTGAGGATAGCAGCCAGTTTCATAAATTAAATTAAATATTTTGTGTAGTGCTGAAATTCCCCTTTCATCTAGTAATTTGAGTATTTCTGACGGTATCTCATCTGGTCCAGGTGCCTTATTGTTTTTTGAATTTAATATTGCTTTTTCTATCTCCTCTTTGGTGATTGAAGGGCCAGTCAGCTGGTCGTCTGTATAAACTTCACTCATGGGTCTTTCGTCATGGAAGAGCTCCTGGATATAATTTTCCCATATATCAATTTTCTCCTTTTCACCCAGCACTATCTGGTTATCCTGATTAACTATGGTAGTTGGTCTTCGTTTTCTGTATATTCCAGCAGTCTCCTTAAGCTTTTTATGTAAATTACGGTCGTCGTGTTGTCTTTGTAAATGTTCTAGATCGATACATTGTTGCTTAAGCCATTCATTTTTTGCTATTCTTATTTTTGCTTTTATTTGCCTGTTAATGTTTTCATACATATTGCTGCCATCTTGGTTATTCTTGTGTCTTCGTCGTTCTTCCATTAGTAATAGTATTTCTTCTGTCATCCATTTTTGCTTCTTGTTATTTCGTTTGTACCCTAAGTTGTTTTTCATGATGTCTGTTACAGCACTTGTAATCGTATTCCATGTTGGTGTTATATCTTCGGTAATGTTTGTCGTTAATATTTGAATTTGTGCGTTTATTTCATTGCTTATTTTTGCTTGTATCACTGGGTCTTTCAGTTTATCCAGTGCTATCTGTTGTTGAGTTTCAGGCTTGTTCTTGCATGAAAGAGCGATCTTTATGACGGCCACTAATAGTACGTGGTCAGAAGGGACATCTGCTCCAGGGTATGTACAAGCTCTTTTGACAGTTGTGCTGAATCTACCGTTTATAAGGATGAAGTCTATCTGGTTTCTTATTATGTTATGAGCTCTATCGGCTCGAGATTTCCAAGTATATAGGCGACGGGGGTGGAGTTGGAACCATGTGTTGGTAACTCTCATGTTTTCTTCTTGACAAAATTGTATAAGTCGGTCGCCCCTTTCGTTCCTTATTCCAAGACCATAGGGTCTAGCTACTATCAACTATCATTCTGCAGAAATAAACAGGTGAATTGGGATTGCCAGATCAGCATTTATACGAATGAAGCCACTCCTAAGCAAAAATATGAATTTGGAAATCAGACTACGTATCCATTCGATGTTATATTTTTAAAACATTATTTATGTTGAGCTGAGACTTGGAATTAAAAAAATGCAATTTTAAAGAATCGGAGGCTTTCGAACTCTGGTTATACGCCAGGGCAGTGTATTAAAAAAATATCATGGAATGATAAATTAATTAATGGAATTACAAATATGAAGTACTGGAGAGAGTTGGTAAAGAAACGGAAATAATCACCATATACAAAAACCAGAAAAACTGCAATATATAGGCCACGTGAATGAGGGGACCAAAATATGAATTTTGAGACTCATAGTTAAGGTGAAAGATTCACAAGTAAGATGAATCTGTTGGCCGAAGAGAATCATGGTTTAAAGATACTCTACGTGATTGGTATCATTGTAGTTCGATTGATTTGTTTAGAGCAGCAAGTTCAAAATATAAATAGCCTTTATGATGCAACCTCCGTAGTGAGACGGCAATGTAAGAGAAGAATTTGAGATGAATAGGTCAGATAATTGAACAAGTGATGAAGTTTAACTATATTGAGATCACACAAACCTAGATACGGTAAGCTTTGAAAACAGAAGTTCGGAAGATACAAGTGTAGAGTTAACAGAGACGAAGGTTTTTTGAATAAAACAATATGGAGAAAGAAAAATATCGGAAAAGAAATGGAAGGCAGAATTTACAAAACATTCATCAAACCAATAATGATATATGCGACAGAAACACGACCTGACACAGAGAGGACAAAAAGGATGTTAGAAACAGCAGAGATGAAAACATTTCGAAAAATTGATGGTAAGACACTATGGGACAGAGCTAGAAGTACAAATATATGATGTAGATGCAAGGTGGAGAAAATTAAGGATTGGGTAATAAAGAGAAGAGTAGAATGGAACAAACATACTAGCCTAACAAAAACAAGTAGAATAGTAAAGACAGCGAGAGACGGTTTCCCAATAGGAAGACGAACGGTGGGAAGACCACGAAAATGATAGAACAACAACTTACTGGAGACACATTGAAAAACAAACAGTGTCATGTCTACATAAAAAGAAGAAAAAGAAGAGAAAAAGAGAAGAAGAGAAGAAGAGAAAAAGATAAGAAGAGAAAAAGAGAAGAAGAGAGGAATTAAAGAAGATAAGAAGGGAAGAATAGAAAAAGAGAAGAAGAAGGAAATTGATCAAATATTCTTCGTCATTCAATCCTATTCATTAACAACTGTTGCAGGTTGTCTCATACACACTATTCTTCAATGGTTTTCTCCTATGTCTACGTCAACTTCTTCCTGCTTCAAATCCAATAAGGATTTGACTCGGAGGTTTGTTATGTTGTAATCATGCTAGACGTCTCACACATACGTCTTCCTATTTTTATGAGATATCATATCTTTTTACTGTGACATGTGTTTGTATTTGTTATCAATTAGGTCAAAAATCTTTAATTGTGAGAAAGCCATTACGATTTCACTGGTGTTGCTACATACATATAGAAAACTATACTGATTTAATTAAATTTGGGGGACATAAAAATAAATCGATCATGTCTATATTAAAACTAAAAGCTTAGCTGTTTTGCCTTTTTTTTATTACATTACTTACCTCGGTTGCATACCTAACCATATCTAATGGAGGAACTGGTTCCTCTCCTTTCATTCTAGCACCTACCAAGTCCCAATTTGTAAAATTTCTCACGTAATATACTAAATTAATCGGCGTTATCTCTTCTAATCCTTGAAAATGAAAATCTGGAGCAAAAGCACTGATAAAAGTAATGTTGTGTCCACGTGGTATTAGGCCCTTCGCTAGCTCCCAAAACGGAATTTTATGTGATTTTGTGCCTCCCAATGTAATCATCAGAATATTTCCCCCGGCAGAGGTTTTTACTAAGGTCAAATGTGCCACTAGCATTGCGATCCATATTTTGGACATTTCTGTAAAAAACAGTCCTGAGTTAATTACTGTGTATAGTTGCGTAGCAGTATTACAAAAAAATATAAATAGGTTTGCTATGATGAAGATGCAAAAATAATAGTAGAACAAAAAGATAATCAATACAAACTTTGCCAGTTTCTTAGAATTACTTAAATATTTTGATTTATTAAATACAGTGGAACCTCGATTATCCGTCTCTCTATTAACCGTCACCTCTGTTAACCGCCAGGGTCCATACATAAGTTATATTGACAATATAAGTAAAAATTTAGTCAATAATTCATTTTGTTTGAGCATTGCGATAAGCCAAACGAAATTCGTCGAAATGTGCACGTGAAGTTATGCCACCACCGCATTTTTTATGAAAATAGTTATTGTTCTTATTTAGGGCTCTGGATTAAATTTTAATTTAAATAGGTAATGACAAATGATACAGTGCTTTTAGAGTTTCATTTGTAGAATCGCAAGCCGAAAATAAAAACGCAGATCACAATAATTATTACAGTTAATATCTGTGTCTCAACATAATTCAGTTTAATTCAAATTCGAACATTGATTGTGTCATTTAGTCGCACTGAGCAAAAAGTATCATGTTCGAATAACAACAATCAATGATTTTAAGAAAAATGCTGATGGAATTGAAAAGTATGCTTTGCAAATGGAATCGTTGGATGACCGGATGAAACATAGTAAGACAATGAAAAAAAGCCACAAATGTATTTCTGGTTCGTTCAAAAAATAAGCGAAGGTGTTCCTTTGTCTGGACCAATTGTTGCCAAAAAAGCGTTGTTTTTTAACATGAAATTGAATGGCGATTCTTTACTCAAAGGAAGCAGCGGTTTTTTGGAAAAGTTTAAAAATCGATACGGTATAGTTACGGAATAGAAAATCAAAGGTAAAAAATTGAGCGCCGCAAATATTGAAGTCGTTGACGAATATAAAAAAAAGTTTCAAGATATGATCGATAAATATGTTTGACACACGATCAAGTGTTCAATGCGGATGAAACTGGTTTAAACTACAAAGCATTGCCAACGAAATCACTCGCTGCACTGTCTAAAAAATATAAAACAGGATCTAAAACGCAAAAGTAACCAATCACAGCAATGATATGTTCAAATGCAAGTGGTGAACATCGCCTTCCTATATTATTGATTGCTACAGCAAAAAAGCACGTTGTTTCAAGGGCATAAATATGAACGCGCTTTCTGTTAACTACCACGCACAACGTAATGCATGGATGCCCCAGGAAATATTCACTGACTGGTTCAAAGACTACAGAGTATATTAGACAGTGAGCACCAAAAAAAAAATAGTATATAAGAACAATATACACCGGGGTGTGTGCAGGCACTATACACCCGGGAATGCACACCCCACCACACGCACACTTAGGTTAGATTAGGTTTAGATTAGAATAGGGAAAACAAAAAACACAAAAAACATATACACGGAGTGTGTGAGAGCGTTATACACTTGGGAATGCACACTCCATAGTTAAGGTATTAGCATAGATAGACTTAGTTTTAAAAAACAAAAATCGCTCACTGTCTAATTAATGTCATGTCATCTTCATGATAAACAAGAACACCCGCTACATCACAAAATTTACATAACACAAATAAGAATGTATAAAAGGCCCTTCAGGCAGATCAAATATTGATCAAACGCGGACTCTGAGCATCGAGGTCATGTGCGGCAAGCATGGGCTCGGTGGCCAGGACTCACTTCTCGAACACCCAGCCGGCGAGGAGGACAAAATTTTTATTTTGTCAAATCGGCGACTGAGTGAACGAGCACACACATTCTTTTCCAGACAGAGAGCTGTCGGTCTAGACCGATGGCTCTCTGTCTGGAACACACGCTTTTTTTAGGAACATGAGTCCCGAAGTAAAGCTAGAGTAACTTCTATAGTCAGTAAAGTTAAATAGGGAGAAAAGCCGACATGTATGCTACCCCTACAGTTAGGTGGCCTAACCACAGTCATTAAAAACAAAAGGTATCTCATTACCCAAGACACCTTACGTAACATTCAGATCACAAGCCTCCTCACGTAAGTCACACGCTGAGGAGGGGTAGAGGAAAAGCCTGGGGGTCAGATAGGTACCACCTCAACTAGTGAGGTGTGACCAGTTTGATTTTCGGACATGTGGATCCCACTCTTACAGTGGTATACACATGTCCCTAGGGGTAGGGTTGATCGCCTCGCGTGATTGTGTGTGTGTAAGGTATGTACTGCAAACCAAAATGTGTTTATTTATTTTTCTATTATCTTGCTTTTTAAGTTTTTATACCGGACGTACGACAATACTTGCAAGCAAAAAATTTTGCCACCAAAGGCGATTCTCATTTTGGACAATGCACCTGCCCATCCTGAAGCCGGTATGATGCGAAGTGACGATAAAAATAACATGTTCTCTTTTCTGCCTGCTAATACAATATCATTGATACAGCCAATGGATTCATTAAAACATGGGTCATTAAAACATTCAAAAGAAGATACAGAAAAAAATTTATTCAAAACCTAGTTACGGAAGAGAAATATTTTTTGCCAGAATACTGGAAAGCATAAAATTTAAAACACGTAGTCGACAATGCTGTGGATGCTTGGGCTGATGTTTCGGAAGTAACGCTAAAAAGAGTGTGAAATAAATTATGGCCTTAATCAACTCAAGATGAAAATGCCCCGTGACAGCCGAGCATTATGCGGTAACAAATGAAGTTATGGCTGAATCAACTGCTTTGTTTTCGTTGCCTAAAGATAACATAAACAAATGTTTAATTTTAATGAGGACGCAAATGGCTATCGATTGCTGACATATGATGAAACCGTTGAAATAGTAACTGATGTAGACGAAACTAATTCAGAAGCTGAAAGAGACTTTGATGGTGGCGATGTTGATGATATTATTGCAACTCACAAAGATTTGCGTAAAGAAGCTATAGGAACTGCATCGCACATACAACAATTCATCAAGTGGTATTATCGGCAAGAGGAAGCAAATAAAGCAGATTTGATGATTTTACGTCGATTAAAAAATTCAGCCATTGCAAAATGTAAAGTAACAATAAAACAAACAAAAATTTCGGAATATTTTAAATCAATTTGATTCGACTGTACTAACATAAATCCCTCTTATATTGCCAAATAAAACATAAAAATAAAATTTGAGAGTTATACTATGATTTTTTTTAATGTTCTGTTAACCGTTTTTTCGATTATCCGTCATACCCTTGATCCGGTGTCCTGACGGATAATTGAGGTTACACTGTAAATATATTCTATCAAAGATTTAACAATTTAAATATTTTGGCCAATATCTATCAATACATTTATAAAACTTAAGAAATATTCTGTGAAAATTTGGAGTCGTTTAATCTACCAGAAATGCTGACAATCGAATGCCGCAAGTAAGACTTGTAACAAACAACTTCTAGAAAAAAATTTAAAATAAATTTTATTTTCCGTATCCTTACTTCAGAGCAAAACTGTATTAAGTCTAAAATTTCAGTTTTGTACTTTTTTGGCTCACTAAGACAAAACTTTTCCGCTTTATTCACTGGTGTTTCTTATTCCCTATTTCGACTGAAATTGGCTAAAATAACCTTTTATGAACAATATTAAGCTTAGAGCAAAACATTAACTTTTGCATTTGAAATGTATTAGATTCAAAATTATTATGTCCCACATAATGTAATTCAGGCAAAGCACTGCCATTCGGAAAATTGTCACAGAAAAATTAAATGAGGCAATAGCGGATATCTAGTCAATATCTAAAAAACCGGTCAGTATAGACGACAAATATAATTGTATTAAAAAAGCTATCGTAACCACCACCAAGTCTCAGATCGCTTCTCAAAAGTACAAAAAGAAGAATTGGATGACTGACGAAATATTATCAATGATGGACGACTGCAGATCATTCAAAAAAAAGTTTTAACCAAACTTCAGCAGATTAACCGACAAATACAAAAAGAGTGTCGCAAAGCTGAAGAACAGTCTGGCGTGCAGAAATAGACTGGCGTGAAGAATAGACAGGCGTGAAGAATAGACTGGCGTGCAGAAATGGAGGAATTGGAAGAAAAACATGACCACTTTAACATACATAAACTCGTTAAAGAAGTGACAGGTAATACAAAACCTTGCAGTTTTAACAGTATTGTAAAGGACAATAAATTAATTACTGATCTCAAGGATCTACTTTAACTTTAGAGAAACTACACACAGCAACTATACTCAGAAAATACTAGAAAAAACTCTGAAAGTGAATATAAAAGTCAACCCTCCCCCAAAATATTAAAGTCAGAAGTTGTAAGGGTAATCAAACAGCATGGAAGCCCAGGCCCAGACGATATATACATAGAGGTTCTAACAATGTTGAGTGAAGACAATATAGACGCCTTGGTAGATCTTTTTAATGGCATTTATGGGTCCGGTCAAATACCACAGAATTGGCTTTAATCATCCTTTATACCAATGCCAAAAAAGCCAAACGCTTATTTCTTCTTCTTAGGGTGCCTGTCCGTTTCGAACATTGGCGATCATTCTGGCTATGATGATTTTGTTGGTTGCTATATGAAATAGCTGCGTTGAGGTCTTTCTATACCATGCTCTCAGGTTAGCAAGCCAGGATATTCTTCTTCGTCCCGAGGCTCTTTTTCCTTAAATTTTACCCTGAAAAATGCATTGGAGTAGCTCGTATCTGCCTTGATTTCTCATAATATGTCCCAAGTACTCCAGCTTACGGCTCTTCACAATGTTGACCAAATCCGCGGTTATGTTCATCCTCCGCAGTACTTCTTCATTGGTGACTTTGTCTGTCCATGGTATCTTCAGGATTCTGCTATATAACCATAATTCAAACGCCTGAAGTTTTGATAGAGTTTCCGCCTTCAATGTCCACGTTTCTACTCCATACAGAAGCACTGAGCACACGTAACATTTAAGGAGCCTTATTTTTGTTTTCAGGGTGAGGTCATGGCTTTTGAACACAGAGCT